TTTACTGAACTTATGATTTTATATAATAAGAAAAATAGTATTAATTTAAAAATTTGAATTCTACCCCTCCTAGTCACTATTACAACATACCACATTACTGATTGTCAATGACTACCTTGAGTTGTTTTCTAGAGGATTATCAGAAGCCAAGGATAAGAGCTAGAAAAACTTAAATAGAGGTGAAAACCTTACAAAATTTTGACTTTACAGATCTTTGATTTTTTTATGTACTTAAGGTGTTACGACATTTACAATAGAAGCAGGTATTCAAATGTTTGTTCATATTAAAATGCCTGTAAGCATCACTAGTGAAATATCAGCATGTGATTTTGCCTGAAAGGAAGGTGAGATTCTATTCTCCTGTTTGAAATTAACTTCGTTTTTTTTCCACTGATATATGTGAAGCAACAACATTATAAAATTGAAAAATATGAATTATTATTATTATTTTTTACCAATTCCTCTACTAAACAGCTTGTGAAAGTTATCTCTGGACCTGTCATTTATAAGCTATAAATAATAATGGCTTCTCTTATAGACCTATTAAAGGTTTGAAAGAATTTGGTGTTTAGATAGTGATCAAGATGACTTGTTTTTATTGTTCCACAGTGCTTGCCTGTATTTCCTGTGCTTCCCTGAAAATTAGTGAATTAATACATAAGTGAGAAAGTATGATATATTAGTAATTTGTCCCACATTTGTAATGTAGAAAATTTTATTAAGTCACTGAATATAAGCAATGCTTTGGTTAATTTTCAGCCATAGACATTCAAAATATTTTCAATCATAGGAAAAAAATTACATTATTCATATTTTCAACTTTTAGGGTTTCTCAGTATTTTCTGCCTAAATACCTCTACTGGCAAGGGAGACTAAGTGTGAAAACTTGGGGTTTATTTCAAAAGTTGGGCACAGTGGTGCACTGTATAATCCCAGAGACTTAGGATGCTGAGGCTGGAGGATCATAAGTTCTAGGACAGCCTCAGCAACTTAGATTGTCTCAAGTTAAAAATAAAAAGGGTTGGGGATGTGTGTCAGTGGTAGACTTCTTCTGGGTTCAAACCCCAGTACTGCAAAACAAAACAAACAGACTATATAACTAAAATAAATTATAACACTGTTTTAATTATACCAATAAATTTTGCTAGCAGTTTAATTTTGTTTGCTTTTTTGCTGTTTCTTTCATACTTTATTAGATGTAAGTACATTAATAATAGATATTTCCAGTCTTCAGCATCATAGTGTTAAAATTTGATTTTACCTCAGGTTATTATTAATTTAAAATCAATATATGAATTGTGATATAGAGCTTTATAAATTGGATAATAGGAAAAATGTTTATGATTACCAGTGCACAATGAGCTAAGATATATACTTGAGTGCTACTTCTTTTTTGCAAAGGCCATTTCAAAATGGTGCTCAAAAATAAAATGCAAATTTCAATTGAGAAGCTTTGAAGTAGATATAATTATGTTTTCTAAGAATATGCATGCATGATAGAATTCTTCCTTTTTGAATGCTTCACCCTATATTTCTTTCTCTAATTCAAATCATTTTTAAATAAATTGTGTTTAGAATCATAACTAAAATACTATTTGAATTAAAGTAAATGCAGGTGAATACCATTATTCAAAGGGTACTATGTGATTGTACCTCTTAACTGGCAATCTTACTGTTTGCATGTTTTAACCAGATTCTAGACTGGAACAAATGTGGTGAAAATCAACACGAGCTCATCTCTGTGGAAACTGGCAAAGCAGCAGATGCTGCTACTGGAAATAGCTGGGACTTCTTAGTCTTGAGATGAAAAACACTTTGTGAAAAAAGATTTATTCTGTGGATTGATTCACCTATTAAAAGGGTATACATTGTTGTTTACTGTGCCTTATTCCAGTGGCAGTACATGTGTTTAAAATGCAGAGACAGGAAAGTCTAACCCCTTTATTTTTGACATTTCCCTTTCATGATTCTGCCTTGACACCACACTAAGTTCATCTCTTTAACCTAATTCAATGGCCATTTAAAGAACACATCTGAAATATTTTAAAGTGAAAATGACAGAGAGTCTCCATGTAATGAGTCTTTAATTAAACTCGGAACACCTCAAACTCAACTCTTCTCCATTGTTTCTTCTGTGTCACTCACATGAGATGGGCACGATGTGGATAAAAATGATATAACCACAGGCCAAAGGGAATCACTAGATCCTGTGACACAGAAAATATTACACAATCAATAACTGCTGAACAGCAGAGGCTTTATCTAAATCTTACCCAATATAGAAGTTGCTTTGGGCAGAGGAGACAATAGAAGCAGAAGAAGAACAGGCTGGAGATCATTCTTCCACAATGGTGTCTATGTTGCTGTGCTTCATGAGCATGCCCTAAATAAAGCCAAACAGTTACAGAAAGATAGATTATAATGGTGGTAGTTATCAAATTTTGTTCCAGTATTAATTCCGTTAGAAATAATTAAAATTCATTTGTCAAAGGAAAAACCTGTGAAACATACCTTACATTTCAAAACACTAGATTGTATGGAGTATATGCTTTCACTTTAGAAAATCCTGCTTGCCTTCAATTGCCAATGGAATCAGAAGACTTCTTTTAGTCAAAATGGGGTTGTAAGGAAAATACTACTCAAAATAAAAAATGTATATTTATGATCTTTTTCATTGATTTAAATTGTGATACAAAGAATTTATGAATGCATAGAGTAATGTTTTTTAGGGAGAAATTAAAGGGTGTTTCAACATCATTTGTTTTGTTATTTTATATGTAGGGTGCTTGTAGGGTCTTTTCTCTATCTTTAAATTTGTCAATATAAAACCAAGTAAAAGTATCAAGAAGTTAATTTTATATCTTTTCTGATAAGGTAGAATTCTTTCATTTGATCCTAAAAATATTTAGTCAGAGACTAAAAAATTGTTTGAAAATACAAAATGTGGACCAATGTTAGTTTACAAAACTTACAAATAACCTTTTAAACTACATTATCTTAATACATTAATGTTTCTGGGGACTATTCTTGACATGCAATTGATCAAGAACACTGATAATTAGTTCATACAGAGTTAAATCGATAAATTGTTTAGAATCAACTTCCTAATTAAAATATTAGTGGCATTCTAACAAAGTACAAAACCACACACACATGTGTACATTCAGAGAGAGAAATGAGAATGATACTGACATCTTTTCTCTAAAACATACTAGATCTCTGACCACAGAAGGCCAAGAGATTTAATCTCTTGAAGTATTAGATTCCTTATCTTTAAAGTGAAGGGAAGAATATCTTCTTGACAGAACCATAGTGAGGACTAGAAAAAAGTAGATAGCACCTAGCACAGTGCCTGCCTCATGATAAGTATTTGTCTTCAACACAAATTGTTTTGTTGTTAACTGTCCTTAAAAATATGATATTTGGAGCTGGGGTTGTGGCTCAGCGGTAGAGCGCTTGCCTAGCACAGGTGAGGCCCTGGGTTTGATCCTCAGCACCACATAAAGACTAAATAAATAAAATAAAGGTACTGCATGCAACTACAACTAAAAAAAAAATTTAAAAATATGGTATGTATTGATAACATTCTTTCATAATATATAAGTAACAGTATTCACAAGGCAACAATTTGAAAGGATTCAGTAAAAAAAATCATTTTACTTTCAGTGTGCCTTTTAATTATACATTTTATCCAACTTTTTTGCAAATATTGTATGTGTGATTACTAGTCAGGGAGGAAAAGGGCAGAATATCCCTTTATTCCAAGTTCCAGGCTTAAAAACAATAAAAATAATGTGACAAGGAAAATTGAATTAAATGCTGAAAGACTGTCATAACTTGTTTAAATTACACTTAATAATTAAAGAAATGGTTTTTAATTTTTTTTATTTTATACTTTAATAGCTTTTAATAGAAGTCTGATAGTAAAGGTAGAGGAAGGTGGTGAGTTTTACTAACACAAAATTTTATCTTTTGCCAGAAACTTTGATGTATCTTTTTAATCCATTCGTGCACTTCCAGTCTTCAAAAAATGCATATTCAGAGGCTGATTGATTTGATAGTAACTCAAACTAAATAACTGATTTTGAAGAGAGCAAAATTGAGTAAATCAGAGTACCATGAGATAAACGATATTCAAGCAACATAACATACAAACAGCAAAATTTTACATCTGATATCCAGCATCCGGTTCCAAAAACTCTTAGAGCAGGAATGGAATTTTGGCACATCAAGTGACCCAGATTACTGATTTTATATTATGGATGTCTAAAACCTGAGCAAAAAGTTTATTCCCGGACTTTGTAGGTCCAAAAGGATAGAAGTACCACAACGACTGTCCCATACCCAATATAGAAATATCTTCATCTTTTATTCATGTAACAAATATGAGAGGGTGTTAACTTTGGTCCTCTTCCCTCCCTCTGTTTTCTCTGTATGAAGAGAAAGAGTTCTTTTCTATAAAGAGTCAAATATGTGTAGATAACGTATGTGAAAATGTAAAACATTATATGTTATTTTCATGCTCACTCTTGAGACAGGTGTTGTTTTCCATGCTTTAATCAGAGGAAAATGCTGCTCAGTTAAGAATCTTTCTTAAGTTTACATAGTGGAAAAGTTTGGATTTGAAATCATTTATTTTGCATATCACATTGCTTCCTAAATGACAGAAAATGATTACATAATTTGTCTACTTAGCTCCTTATAGAGACACATATGTTGTGAGAGTATGCTATGCTGTTTTTTTTGCTTTTGGCTTACAGATAATAAACAATGAATTATGTTATGATGTATTACCCTTCAAACATCAACAGTTCAGCACCCTCTTTTTCATTAGAAAAAGGTATATGTAGCAAAGGTATTATGCATGCACAATGAAACTTCTAACCTATTTTATCATTTAGTTAACTTAGATAAATGTTTGAGCAAATTGAACTGTGTAACTTGCTTTCCATGTGCTTCCACTAAGCATAATTTATCAACAGTTTTCTCTCTGTTTATAGGAATGACTTGCCAAGCTCGAACATCATACACTGAAGATGAAGTTCTTTGGGGTCATCGTTTTTTTCCAGTAATATCCTTAGAAGAAGGATTCTTTAAAGTTGATTATTCTCAGTTCCATGCAACATTTGAAGTCCCCACCCCACCTTACAGTGTGAAAGAGCAGGAGGAAATGCTTCTCATGTCATCCCCTTTAATAGCACCAGCCATAACTAACAGCAAAGAAAGACATAATTCTGTGGAGTGCTTAGATGGACTAGATGACATTAGCACAAAACTTCCATCGAAGCTGCAGAAAATTACTGGAAGAGAAGACTTTCCTAAAAAACTCTTAAGGATGAGTTCTACAACTTCAGAAAAAGCCTACAGTTTGGGAGACTTGCCCATGAAACTTCAACGAATAAGTTCAGTTCCTGGCAACTCAGAAGAAAAACTGGTATCCAAAACCACCAAGATGTTATCTGATCCCATGAGCCAGTCTGTGGCTGATTTGCCACCAAAGCTTCAAAAAATGGCTGGAGGAGCAGCCAGGATGGAAGGGAATCTTCCAGCCAAATTAAGAAAAATGAACTCTGATCGTTTCACATAACAAAACACCCCCTTAGGCATTATTTAATGTTTTGAGTTAGTAATAGTCCAATATTTGGCTGAAGAGATAATCCTCCCTAAGAAATCTGAAAGATATATTTCTCCCCCAGTCTAATTAGCATATTTGAGAACTCTTTATTCCCAAGTATTGCTACTGTGCAGAAAGGAAAATCAGGAAGGGAGAACATCATAAGAAAGCTGTTAATGGGCATGTATTATCACATCAAGCATGCAATAATGTGAAAATTTTGCATTTAGTTTTATGGCATGATTTATATATGTCATATTTATATTGTATATTCTGGAAAATATATACAAATATATATTTAAAGGAGAGGTAGTCTCCCTATCATTTCTAACACATGTATTAAGCCAAACATGAGTGGATAGCTTTCAGGGTGATAAAACTACACACACACATACATGTGTGTGTGTGTGTGTATATATATATATATATATATATATACACACACATCCATGTACACATACATACATATATATCTGATAAAAATTGTGATGTTTTGTTCAAAGTTGTAGTTCTTGTGCATGTTTACTTTATTAGACTAGGAAGGCTACTGGCATTAATTATTAATACCAAATATTTTAGCCTTAAATTATTTGTCATTTAAAAATCTGATTTAATGTTTTCTGCTGTTCAAGGTCATAGAAGGTTCAATTGTGTTTTATCATGAGAAGGTCACAAAAGTTTGCCATTTACAGTCCTGCAAAAGTATTGCCTTATACATTTGACTTGTAAATTTTAGAGCATACCAATACCTGGTATATCATTGAAATTTTCTCATGATTTTAAAAGTTGCTAGTACTGGGGGGAAATTAGTGCTGATTTATTTGAGAATTAGTTCTTTCCTGGACTAATTAAAATCTGGAAATCTGTTTTGTACATGGTATAATACAAATATGAGCTCTGAACAAATGCTAAATCATTGTAATAATCAGTAGCCAGGTTCTATTTGAATATATAAGAATTTGTGTAAAATGACATAGTCCCTGTTTCAAACAGAATCAATTGGAAATGTTTTCACTCCTATTCTGGAATTTTTCTGTCCATTTAAAAAACAAAAAAAAATATCTTTAAGGGAATGCAATAAGGCAATGAAACAGATGATAAATACTTATGCTTAAAATATGTATGTCTAATTGAGTCTCTTTTTATGCTGTTCTCGTTTATGACATTTGTTGTAAGAAGAGAGATTTTTTTTTCCATACCTGGGAACTGTCCCAGACCTGTCACTTATAGTTCTGGAAGATTGTCTGGACAGACCTGAAAGAAATTAAAATTAGATGAATTGAAGATAACTTACACACAGTTCTTCTTGATGAGCACTGATTTTATTGGTATCTTGGATCCCTGGCCTACTCAGTTTTAGCAGTATGATATTTATAACCCCAATGGTCATACACATTATTGGGAATCAAAATTATTGATCAGTAGAACACATTCAAAATAAGATTTGAAGTGCAAATGTTTTATGAAAAGTTAGAAGTGTTCCTTATTAGAATATTACAGCTTTTCCTCCAAAACTTCTTTGGGCATTGCAATCTAATTCTGCACAGAAATACTCCACTTCTGACTAATGTGCAAATCACTAATAGCTGGTTTGGGCTCCCATCATTTGCTATTTTTTAGCAATCCTGTGATGATTTTATTATTGGCAAATTATTACATCAATGATTCTATCATTAACTATAATAATATCTTCTGGCTACCTCTATATCAACCAAATTCTGTAGGTGCAAACATATACCAGGGAATTGTTACTGGCAAAATGATCAACCTTGAATATTCATCCACTGTGAAAAGAGCGGTGGCCCTACCCCTTGATTATTAAACTTTCTTATTTGCTGGATGTAGGAAATGAGATAGTAGCAGAGAAAAGGGCCTAAGAGGCATGGCATACTCTATTTATTAGCAGTGGAAGAAACTGCATAGATCATTTAGTCTAACACCTTAAAACTAAACAGAGCCATAATTTACTTTGGAGGGTCATTTAAATTTGTTTTTGGTACCAAGAAGAAGAACCAAAAACAAAATCTTTGAATGTATTCATTCATTCAACAAAAGTTTGCATGCCTTCCATGTCCTGGGCAATTTTTACTTCCTGGGGATTTGAACATGACTAAGAGGATGTCATTGTTCATCATAGACACAGCATACCAGTAGGTGGGAGGGGCAGAAACAGACGAAAAAACAAACAAGACAATTTCAGATAGTCAAAATGGCAAAAGAATGAAAACAGGGTAATGATGGCCAATGACTGTGTGGGGTAAGAATTGAGTATTTAAATAGAGATGACTAGATTTGGGAGGTGAGTCGTATTTGGATAGAGACCTGAATGATGAGGAGTTCCTGTTGCCAAAACTGATTAATCAAAGTGAATGATATTTTTTTTAATCTTTTCCACATGTGTGGGAAAGGTACAATTTCTGCATGTAATTGCAGTTTAACCCCTATTTCTAGGTTGATCATAGATCCCAGTTTACCCAGGAAAATTCCAGTTTATACCTGTTGTATTTGTGTAATTATTAGTAGCATTCTCTTTCACTCCTATAATGTCTGGTTTGGATGATATATGGCAAAGTTTTTGTTGAAACTAACTATATTATAAAGTCTGATATATTTGGATAAAAATAAAGAATTGCTTTTCTTCTCTTTTTGCTCATTTTTTCTTGACATGGATCAGTCCAAGCAAAATAATCTCAGCTTCGTATAGTTCCTAAAGGACTTCTTATTAAAGTGGTTTCATGTAACATTTGTTCACTCTGTATGTGACATGTCTCTTGGCAGTGAAAAGTTACTCATTTTATTAAATGAATAAAAAAATAAATCTCAGTATTTCCATTTCAGGAAGTTGTAAGAGCTCAAATCAAAGAGTCATAGTCAATTTAAACCAATTTTCATTTCACCAATGTGCTGGCTATTGGAAAGCAAAGCGTAATGTGATCATTGAACTGAATCACTCCACTTAACAACTAGAAAACTTGTCCTTTTTGTAGCATTTTAATAGTATATCTCTTGTTATAGTAAAATATTTCATTCTATTTATCAAAATGTTGTAAATAAAAGAATTATTTTGATAATGCTGATCCTTATTCTTTTCAGCAATATGTGAATATACATTGTAAATATATACTAAATGAAAAATAATAATTATTTCTGAAAAATTATTCTTATGCTGTTTTAAATTCATGCATACATGGCTTTAAATATCATGAAAAATATTCAGTTGTCTCAGCATCCAAAACCATCTTTGTCTGAACAGGATGGGTTTCCATCATTCATTATTATTATTGGAGGGAGACTGAGGTCATGCGGAAGCTGACTTACATCCTTCATGTATAATGAAAAATTTCCACAGTTCCTTACTAGCAGAGGGTTTGGCACAGTATGTCTATGAACTCTACTTCAAAATTTATGCTTGAATTATGTTGTACATACTCAAATTATTATCAAACTAATTGCATTTTTTGGCATGCAATCTATAATTATTTAAATGTACAAGGTCATTTAGGTTACAGAAATATAAAACTCATGTATTCAGTACTGCAAGTTCAGTTTTATAAAAACCATATTAAACTTTTGAAACATCAATGGGTTTAATTTTCATAGTGTGCTTATCATTTTTTTTCATTTTTCTACAGTCATTCACATTCCTTGATTCATTTTTGTTTATCATGACATTCATAACTCCTGAAAGACAATCATTCCATTCATCAGAAGATATTCTTTGAGAATCCCTTTCATTTGGGTCCTTAGTGGTGAGCTGCTTCAGCAATCTGCAACCTGAACATAATAATGCTGATGACCTGAGAGCTGTTTTTCTGGGAGGAAGCTTCATGATCATCTTACCCTTTCCTGAACAAACCAGTGTTTTAAAAGTTAAAGTAAGTAAACTAGAAAAAAAATGTGGTTTCTAATTTGGTTTAAATAATGAACCATCTTTTAATAAAACATTGTTTCAGCTGAAAGTGTTTCATAGAAAGACATATATTCTTCATCTTGGATCAGAAGAGTCCTGTGATACTTAATGTTCCCCACCACCAGGATGTTTACATAATTAATCTAAAAAGCTAAGTAGTTGTAGCTTCTGACCTGGTGAGTTTCAGGACAGTCCTCACCATTAAGTGAAATGTTTTTTTTTTTTTATTTTTTGAAAATTAGTATTTATTTTCACCTATAAAATTTCTTGAAATCATAGCAATTTCAGAATATTTCAGCTGTGTATGACCGAAGAATGCTATAGAGAATAAATATGGTAGGACCCACTGAATTGTCACTGCTTAAGAAGAATCACTGCTATTTATCCCTTCCCAGCATTGAATATGTCAATCACTTGCATAGTGACTAGCAGATGTTATTTGAATTCTTGGAATAACTCTGCATGGTACATTATTCCCATTTTACATTTGAAGAAACTGATTCTCAGAGAGGCTCTTCAGTGGGTTTTTAAAATTAATTCCACAAACATGAGGTTAGTCTCTACCCCCCTGGGAGAATAAAGTATATGGAGAATCTTTTTTAAAAAACATTTGAATATCCCAGACAATTCGGATGCATGAACATAAATATTCAATGAGTTTGGGCAATCATTTCAGACTTGCATAATTAGGTTTACATTTTTCCTTGTGATTTGAACAAGTGGTGGGTGAAAGGCAAAAAGGCATAAGGCATATATTGCAATCATTATGGGATACTTGAAGAAAAACAAGGTGAGTAGAAATATAAACAAAAATTAAGGAAATATAGAGCAAGGCAGAAACTTTTAGTGGTGCACAGAGAAATACATAAATGGCAAAAATGTAAAATAAATGCCACACTAAAAATTCAGGAATCCACCAGATTACTTGGAAAAAAAAATGAAATATTTAAAAAAAAAAAAAGCAGAAAATCTCATACTCAAGTACCTCAGAGGAAAAGGTTAAATGATACAGTAACATGTTGCCATATTTGCTCCAAGTAATTTTAAAGAAATTAAAAGTGATAGAAATCACTAAAACACCTACCTCCTTTCTTTGAAACCTACAGGATTGTATTTCTCTGCCTCTCTCATCAGAAGGCATCACTTTCTGGAAATTTGTGTGTATGCTTCCCATGCTTGTGAGTGTGTATGCCTATGTGTGTATAAATATAAACACAGTATAAGTATACTTACATATATAACAGAAAATATACTGATATATGCATATATACTTATACATACATATATATATATACATACACACACACATATATATATACATATATATTAACCAGATAGGTTAGTAGATAGCTAATCAGTTTATTTTGTAGTTGTATTTGGACACAGTACTTCATTTTATTTATTTATTTTTATGTGGCCCTGAGGATCGAACCCAGCGCCTCACATGTGCTAGGCGAGTGCTCTACTGCTGAGCCACAACTCCAGCCCCTGTAATTAGTCTTTTTTTTTTTTTTGAGGCTTTACTGCCTTTTCTTAGATTATGTATTTCCATTATTTCCTTTGTTAAACATTTCATTATTTTAGTAACCTTGAATATTTAAGCTAGCATACATGATCTAATGAAACTTTAATTAACATCCTAAGCTTCCTTTTAAACAACACAAGTAGAAAATCAAGCATCTTAGAGCATCTTAAATACACCCAGATCTTCTCATATTTTGTTATTTTATATAGTATTACACTTGTTTTAATGTTCTAACAAAAATTATGGTTTTTAAGTTGATATATCTATTATTACTCACATACATGTTTTATCTATTCTTCAATTTCCTTTCTATATTTTTCATTCTTTATTATTTACGTATACATTTGAATTTTTCTAACAATAAACATCTGTGATGGAAAAATATCTGTTATCAAAAATGTCTTTTTTTTTACAATCTTCAAGCAAATATTTTATACTTCTCACTAGAGGCGGGGGGACCCTCAAATGCATTCAAATAGATTCAAAATAGCATCCATAACTTTAGTGCCCTGAATCTAAGCTTATATAGTAAGTTCACTTTCTCTTGATTAACTACCCCACTCTTTGGCCTTAAAACAAAATCAAGGATAGACTAAGTTTCAGCAGATCAACCTGAGAGCTATTGTCAACATTTGTTGGCAAAAAAAAATACTGTCCCATATAGAAACAATATGTATTAAAACT